AAAGAGAAGGATGCTACGGGGGCCACAAGTTCACTTTTCTAACCACATATATAAGGTGAAAGTGATGGAAGGGGATGGTTACCCTGTCTCTAGGGACCAGGCCCTGCCAGGATCTGAGGCAGGAGGTAGGCAATTGAGTGCCACAAGTGGGTACTGACTTTTAAGGTAGAATAATTCTACCCATGAGTAATATATGGCCCAGTAAAGGTGTTGGCTTTTTTCAACAAGGTCAGCAATCCCTCTTTCAAGGGAATGTATTGAAGGGGTTATTAGTAAGGAGACATATAGAGGTGGGAGCAAGGATGGGAATATTGTCTTGCTTACATTAAAGTCTGAAGTATTCCTCTGCTCTGGTTGCTACCATGTGACTTTTTCCCTCCTTGCAGATGCACGCTGCCCAGCTTACTCAATGAAACATTATTGTGTCATTATTGACTGAGAACCTCACTACTCTGATCTTCCTGCGTTGGGATTTTAGACACAGGGTAAGATCTCCTGTAGACAAAGCCATGTTTTAGTTCAAATTAGGGTCAGGTTTGCCTCTTGCCTCTGCCCAGACACTAGTCAGTGGCTGTGGTGAGTTGACATCATCTCTGATTTCTCTTAGTGGCATATATCTCATCACACACTCCTTTACAAATTTACAACCCAGACATATTTTCCATGATGGATCTTCAGATTTAGACATCTCCTACTTATACCTCTACTACATGGAAGTTTCTATTGTGTTCTTCTAATTGATAGTATATCTTTTATAGATTCTTTTTAAAAAAATCTAATGGAGAAAACATAACATGATTTTAAAAATTTTTTTATGATACTGTAGTTTTATGAAGTTTTGCAGCATATGTCTTTGTTACTACTATTATTATTTGCGATATTGGTTTTTACTGAAATGATAATCTTCATAGGTAAAAGAATATGCACAAGAGTATTCTATTTGGTCTTTTGATATTCGTAGAGGTTTTACTTTTAATTTTGTCTTTTTTGCTCACAGAAAATTGTCTTCAACTTAGCTAAAGACTAAACCCAAGTAAAATAACAATTGCCATAGCAATAAATAAAAGTCTGGAAATATCTACAAAAGGGTTCTATTTTTTAGAAAGTCATAGTATTTGGTATGCAGAATTCCAAATAACTAAGACTGAAATAAAAATCTAGAGACCAGGGAACCAAAATTTTTGCCAATATTTATTGGCTTTGCCTTTGCTGAAGGAGCTCAGCTCCCTTTGACTTGACCACAATCCAAAACACACTGAAGTTTCCGTGTTAAAACAAATATTAATATGAGATTGCCCACAGAGGTGAGTCAATGGCCAATTCAGAGACTAAAGTTCAAGTATAATGGCCTTTGTGCATTCTTCTGGATTGTTCACAGCTGCATTCTATACCCAAAGAAAATCATCAAGAAAAACAATTTTTAGGTAGACAGGAACAGTTGGTCTTGTTTTGAATCATCTTAACACTCAGTACAAATCACTTGATAAAGATTTGGAGCCCATGAAATCCCCCAAAATGTAGGCATTGAATAATTCAACAGCATTTACTGAGAGCCAACTAATATGTGCTAGATTTGTATGTACTACCCAAGTGCTAAAGTTGAAAGGGAAAATAAAATATGTATACACCTAACAATAGTAAAGTGCAACACAATGCTAACATAGATGTATAAACAAAATGCAAAGAGAAGAAATGAGAAGGATTCATTAATGCGGTAGGAAGTGGCCTTCTAAAATGGATCCCATTGATCCCTACCTCCTGGTGTTCATGCTCTTGTATAATCTCCTCCTCCTAAGTGTGGGCTAGACACAGTGGTGTTTATAATGATAAGAGTATGACAGCAGTAATGGGGTATCATAGCCAAGATTAGGTCTAGAAGATGATGACTTTTATCTTGCTAGCAGCTCTTCTCTTTTGCTTGCTCTAAAGAGGCAAGTTAACATTTTCTGAGCTGCCCAAATAGAGAATTCCTCTTGAGAAAGTACTCAGAGCAACTGCTGGCCAACAGCAAACAAGGAACTAAATCTTGCCAACAACCATATGAGTGAATTTGGAATTGATTCCTCCCCAGTAGAGCCTTGAGATGAATACAGCCCTAGCTAGCACTTTGATTGCAACTCTCTGAGAGCCCTAAGCAGAGGACCCAGTTCCTGATCTACAACACAAGACAATAAATGTTGTTATAAGCCATTATGTTTTGGAGTAATTTGTTATGTAGCAATAGATAACTAGTATAATCAGGAAGAAAAACATGGTAAATGAAACAAAAGGAACAGTACTTGCAAAGATGAGAGGGTATAGATTAAATTCTAGAACAGCAACTCATCTTGTGTAGTTATAGCATGAAGTATTCTTGGAGGAATGATTGATGATAAGGTTTGAGGTGAGGATTTGAGGCCAAACTGTAAAATGTGTCCAGTGTCATTTGTATCAATCAAGCTTCCCTCAAAGGAAATAGAAACTTCTCCAACTATTTTAAACAGAAAAAGTTTAACATGGGGAATTAGATACAGTTACAAAATTGTTGGAAGGGCTAAGAAGTAAGTCTGATCACTGCTATGACTGTAATTGCCTCTCCTCATCCAGGAAGCTAGGCAAGATTCTGGAACTTTGATGAAGATAAGTCCAACATCTCCAAGATCGTGCTTGCTGCAGCAATAGCATAAAGTTTGTTTGTCCTTCCTCTGCCTTCTTAATTCATGTGGGCATGCATTAATTGGCAGAATCTAATTTGCATTACATAAATCCAGCTGTACAAAGTCTGGGAAAAGTGGTATTAGTTTTCCATCCTCTACAACTTAAGAAGGCATGCATGAAATGGTTGTTGAATGCCAACTTAGCATATCTACCCCATATAGTGCTGTGTTTGGACTTGTTTCTGGAAAAAATAGGGAGTCCTCAAAAGTTCTAAGGAGGACATAATAAGCTGTAAAGCAAAGAAAATTCACTTTGGTAAGATGAAAGTATGGACTGTAGGTGTGACAGAGAGGTTGCTGAGATTGGAAACAGGGAGAGCAATGCTTAGATGAAAAGTGATGAACTGAGGTCTGAGAAATAGCAAGGGAAGGTTAGAGAATGTATAAGATAAATTGAGTTCATTTCAATTCTGTCAATACCTAATGCCACCATTCAAGCTCTGTGTCTCTAATTCACGTTCTCTAAATGATACTAGCCTAGGGACTAAATTTTCTTACTATAATGATAGTACTGCAGGAATTGTATTTTCCTATTGTGTTATCAAGTCTGATAATTCTTTATTTGTTATTAAGCTTAGATCCCTGTGGTTCAGGCTCAGTGTGGTGCTGAAGTGAAAGAAACACAACAAAGCAACCATCTGAGGTTTGATTACCTCAAAATAATCTTTTTTTTTTTTTTTGCATTAGCATTACTCAAAAACCATGAAAGAGATTAAAATACATATGCCACAGCAAAATTTATAAAAACTTCCTTTTCAACCATATTTTCATCACAGCCTATAATCACTCTGGGGCATCTCCTTCTTCCACATATCGCCCAAATCCATCTCAACACATAGCCCCAAGGTGGGCCCTCCAGGTGCGCCCCACCCCCAGTGTGGGCTGTCTACACCTTGTTGTAGTTAAGCCTTGATTGCTGTTGGCAGGACAATGGGAGGGCTTAGCCCCAGGCTGATCAGCTGCAAAAACTGGCTGCAACGGCTGTGGAAGATCAGTGGTGCAGTGGCTGACCCCACAGAGCAGGACTAAACTTCAGCAGGTTCTGGTGCCAACTTAGCATATCCATCTCATATAGTGCTGTGTTTGGACTTGATTCTGGAAAAAATAGGGAGTCCTCAAAAATTCTAAGAAGGACATAATAAGCTCTATAGCAAAGAAAATTCACTTTGGTAGGATAAAAGTATGGACTGTGTTCACCCCTTGAGTATGTCATTTGTGGAGGTGGCTCTGGGGCCTCCAGGAAGTGCCGGCCAAAGTCAGAGGCCACCTGTGTCCTGCCCAGGGCCACCCAGAATGAACTACAAAGCAATATGCAGGTGGCTGCTACTTGTGCTGGACTTGAGGGTACCCAGGAGAGGTGAAGTTGAAAGCAAAGGCTAGCCACTGCTAGTGTCAGCCCTGAGTCCACTTAGCAAGAGGTACGGGGTATGCCAGATGCTACTTGTTCTAGAGATTTTAGAAAAGTCTGAGGCAGGAGCCAAGACAGGCCATTCGTTTGTGAAAGCCACTGGAAAAAACTTAGGTGGGCCTGCAAGTTGTGTAGAGTCGGGTCTCAGCAGTTGTTCTCCTTTCCCCTACCTCTTGGGAAGGGCATACACCTGTCTAAATTAACAGGAGATGATAGTATCCCATACATAGGAGTTGCCTGTAAGATGTCTCTAGAGTGGGAGATATGATTATTTTTCAGCACACACAAAAGGAAGACCACTAACTTAGATTTATTCCTCTTTTTCTTTGTTATTTCCTGAGAAATAGATGAGACAAACCAGAGTTTGCAAACTCATAGACTTCAGGGCCAGGCCGGTTATAAATGAATGAAAGGGGCTGGGTGTTGGGGTGGGAGGCAAAAGTGTTACCAGATCCATAGGAAATGGCGCCTTTATTTTGGCACGAGGGTGCCGTAGAGGACTGGTGGGGCGGAGAGCACACACAGCCTTTTAAAGCAGACAGCCACTACTCAGTGTCAGAGAATTACTGCCATAAGGGAATATGGGTTCTCTATCTCCAGATCTTCCCACTTTTCAAGGGTATCCCAAAATATACATATGTGAAATCTCTTCATTTTTAATTCTTGGCAATTAAACCAAAATATAAGATAATACTTTGTGGGCCAACTTCAAAAGAGACTATGCCAGCTAGTTATGGCCTCTGAGATAAAAGGACCATGGATCTGTGGGGGCACTTGTGAGGGGAAGGAATCATTAGCAGTCTAGAGAGAAAAGACTAAAGAGGAGAAGACAGAAAGCTAGAGAAACAGGGCAAATGAGCTGTCCTGAATCTCCCGCTTCCCGTGAACTCTGAAATGGATTGGAATGTAGGACTTGAATCCTAAGGCAAGGACTCTCGTGTGTGTGGGTACTTAACTTAAAATTAAGACCATAAAACAAGAACAGTCCCACATAGTGACGCATATACTACTGGGTTTACACCTATTTGTAGTCCGACGACCATAGTTGTCTCTTACTTTTGCAAACAGATTACTTTTATTTTGCTTGAAAAGCATAATACATCCATTTAAATAAGAGGGCAAAGGAGTTTTCTAAATCCTTTTATTTTTGGCACAAATATTTATAGATAATTCTGCACCTCTCAGGTTCTTCTTCCTGGAGAAAGGACAGCTAGTGATACATTTTTTAATGACATTAAAATGTGTATTGGCATATAAAGGTAATAAAGTACTTTTTAGCTATGTTAATAATAAATTAAGGTTATAATAGTTGCCATATTAGAGAAAATTAATTGATTAGTCTCAGGAAAAAATAGTTTTAGAAGTGGATAAGCTAGGGATATCAAAACAAAACAATTAGCTTCGACAATATTGTACTATATGCAACTTTTAGTGAATTCAATTACAGAATGTAATACCTTGTACAGCGCCTGATATATAGTAGGTATTCAGCAAATGTTTGTTAGATTTCATTGCTTTTTAACACAGTACTTTTCCTCAATAATAATTAACTCAGATAAAAATTGAAATTTGTAAGAAAATATTTCTGGTTTTTTGAAAATATAATCAGCAGACAGCAGAAGTTGTCTCTTCTGCTGCTCCTATTTAGAAAAATGGGAGCAGCAGAAGAGAGAGAAAATGTGTGTGTGTTCTAAAAAGTGACTCCAACTCCAGTTACTCAGAGATGAATATTTTGACCCTGTCTGTAGTCATGGTCCCCGCTGACAATGTGCTGTCAGTTTCCTCGACCTCATTCTCTTTCTTTATTTACTTTGGCTTTACAGAGATCAGGTCTCAAGTCATGGGAATTTCTATGGCCTTCAGTTGCTAAACTTTTCCTTCTTTCGCTCTTGCCTGACTCACAAGAACTTGCCAGGTGGTATAAATATTTCCTTTTCAGAGCTGAGGAAGGGATCTGGGCTCTGGATTCAATAGAGAAAGCCTTGGTTTCTGTGGCTTCTTGGCTCTCAATTCACCTATTCTCAGCCAGCCCAGAGGCCTCTTTTCAAATGTGCTCTGGTTAGCTGTTTTAGATCCTTGTGCTTTGAAAAGCTCCTTTCTCCCACTGGGATATAATTAGGACATAACGAGGCTAGAAAAGCTGTGGGAAGCTTTGGAGGCAGGAGGAGAGGACCCAGCAAGGTTTATAGTAAGAAGGGAATTCACTGTGGTTGCCTACATAGTCCAAAGGTACCCCTGAGGTGATTCCAGGTAGGAGGCAAGGCTGCACTTTCTTGTCTGGTTCTTTGGCTCTCTTAGTTTCCCCTCTGGGGTCAGGATATGTATCAGGAAAGAAATCAGCCTCAGGTGTGTTCTCTCATTTCTTTCTCATCTAAACTTCAGCTTCCAGGCATCGCACTGTAGATTTGGGAGGACTCTTGGGCTCTTCTGGCTTTTTGTCCATTTTATTTAATTCCTCATTGGGGTTGCTATCATCTACCTTCTCCTCCTTTACTACTTTGGTTTCAATCATTTCCTTCTGCTGATTCTTGTTGGTAAAAGGGAAGGCCTTTACATACCTGTAGGAATAAACATAAAGTCAAAGTGAGAGGCTCCTACGTAACACATATAACAATAGGCAATGCTTTGTCTGTGATAGCCACGTTGGCACAGCACACTGGGTACCTTTATTTCAGAGAGAGGCTCTGAACACATACATGCTCAAATACATTAACACATCCCCATTCTAATGGATTCATTTAGAGGGGATTGTAAGTTCATACCACACTTTAGGCTGACCTCACAACCCTCCCACCAAAAGCATAGAATTGAAAATCAAATAAAGCATATACATTTTCCTTTAGATGTCAATATTTTCTTCTTATTTCTTGATTCAAAGGGACAGCCATTAACCTATCATATATGGCTCGATGGTAATGCATGTGCTGCAATAGTAGGGAAGACTGGGCGGTAGGGAGAAGAGGTGCGATGAGGGAGAAAATTTACAATATAAGAGGACTGACATCTCTGTTTTGACCAGAAAAACGCTAATGACAACTTTGGAAAAACATAAGAAAGGGATTACAAGATTACAAAATTAAAGATTACAAGGCTAATGGTGTACCAGAAACCCTACCTTTTGACATAGCAAACAGCGAGACCAGCTGCAGCAGCAAAGAAGAGGAGCGCAAGCACTAGAAGAGCCGTGGGAACACCTGGAGGAAACAGATATGGCCTGTTGGTCCTTCACTTGTACAATGTTGTGCACAGCTCTTCTAACGATGGATCCTTACCCCTGATTGAGACACAGATAATGCAAGAGAAAAGCCTTCTCTGTGACCACACAGGGGCCACTTAGGATGTTGGGTACACATCTGCTTCTTTGCTTCTTGTCTGTAGAACCCTAGGCCTTGCCTCTCATACTCTTTCTATTCTGTAAGTTGCAATATGACAGAAAGAGTCCACTTTCTCTCTGTGGCCTTGTGAGGATAAGTTTGGAGCTAATTAAGTAAAAAAGTGTTTACTTTTAAGTAAGAAAACAAACTTATTAATCACATGCATTTAAGGTATATATTTTAAAAAGGACTTTTACACATTAATAGGTAGTAATTTATTTTAAAAGTCTTTGAGTTTGACAAGTGAAACTATTTCGTACTCATGATTTTTAGTTTAATCATTAAGGGTTTTTTTTTTTTTTAGAGCTCTCAAGTTCTATGACTATGAAAGTTGAGCTTGCATTAGCCTTTTATTTGTGTTTGGCAGGTCCTGAGTGCCCAATCTGGAGACAGCCTAATTTCTATGTATTGTCTGTTATGCACACACACACACACACACATAACGCAGACACAGGAAGCTTTACCTCCAAACCCAACACCTTCATTCTTGAATGCTGCTTTATATCCAACATGTGATTCAGTTTCTGTAGATGTAGTGGTAGTTTCCATGAAAACTTCTGTTATGCAAATTAATTTCTTTTTTCGTGGAGCAGTGGAAGCCAGAACAGGAGCAGGTTTAGTAGAATAAGTTACACCAGTAGATAATGCTGAGTGTATATTGTCACTGCCAATCATTTCTGTTGTGTATGTTGCATTTTGAGTGTCAAATATGGGATCTTTGGTGGTGGTAATTTCTGGAATGCATGAGTTAATCCAAGTATCTGTTGGGGAGGGAAAATAAAATGACAAGTAAGTTTTGCAATAGTCTCCTAACTGGTCTTACCACCTCTAGTCTTACGCCCCTTTAGTTCCCTTATACTGTAGCTGGAATGGTCTTACAAAAATGCAAATCTAATCATATCTCTTCCTTCCTTAGAATCTTTTGGCGACTCCCACTACTGCATGGCCTATAAGGCCCTCCATGATTTGGGCCAGCTGACATGACCAGCGTCATCTGATTAGTCTTTCTCTTATTCCTCCTACCATACTGAAATTCCTTCAGTTCTTTGATATGCCTTCTTTCACATCTCTCACAAGCCTTTGACCTTGATGCTTTCTTCACCTATAATGCTCTTTGTCCCCTCTTTATTTAGCTCTTACTTGTCCTTCAGTTCTCAGATTGAACATCTCTTAGGCAGGCTTGATGACTAGATTGGGTTCCTAGGCATATGTTCTTGTACCTCCTTGTATTTCCCTTGTCACAGTTCTCATTACACTCCTCCCCACTGGCCTGTCTTAGTCATCATTACGTGTGCACTGTACCTGGCGCATAGTACATGCTTAATATTTGATAAGTAAAGAAAGGAAGGAAAAGTGAAAGGAAGGGGAGGATAAGGAGACCAAATATACACACATGACACCACTTCAGGACAAAGGTCTACTGAAATCAGATTTCTCTGTGTTCATCAAAAAGGGTGGGAGAGGTAAGGGAGAGACGTAGGTTTGCTTTTCAATCTGTTGAATGTGGTAGAGAAGAAATTAACATTTGTTGAGCATCTGCTCTGAGTCACCATAACACTCATTTAACAATTTTATCAGATCTTCATTTATATAGGAGGAAACCAAAGTTCAGAGAAACTGAATGACTTGCCCAAAATCACAGAACTAGTAAATGGCAGAGCCATGAATATATTATAATATAATTTCATCTATTTAAAATCCTTCATTATTTGTGGCAGTGGGTAGTATCAGCTGGAATGTTAGCTATAAAGAAAAGTCCATTCATTTTTGAAAAGTAAATAAATTATAAATCAAGATCATGGATATTATTGTACCAGTAAAGCATTTGACTACATATGTATTCAGTCAGTATTTCATGCCATTCATTTTACTTTGAAAAGACCTCTATTCAAATAGACATCATCCTTGATTTTCTTTACCCTGAAATTTTAGCTGCATTTCCCATTTTTGAACAATGCTGAATTCTTCCCTCAGAAAATGAACATTTTTTAATATTACAGGAAAAAAAAACTGAGCACAATATACTATGCTGGGAACTGAAAATATAGGCATGGTTCCTGTTTCCAGGACAGAGTATTTGATAAGAAGAGGGAGAGATCACTGGGGGAGAGGATGGGGCTTTTGGGCAGGGTGTGGAAGATTAATGTGTTCATTCAACAAATATTTATTTAGCTCATCTTTGTGCAGGGACTGTCCTAGTTCCTAGGGACATGGTACAAAGTCCTGGCTTATAAGGGGCTTATATGCTATTGGAAATATAGATATAATAATTTTTTTTTATAAAGCCAGAAGTGTCCAAAGATGGTAAATATTGAGAAGAAAGTTGAACAGGATAAAATTTAGACTGGAAAGGGTAGGGAATGGGGGATAGATACTCTGGGTAGGGTGATAAGAGAAAAATCTCTTTGTGGAGGTGATACTTAAGATGAGACCTGAAGGATGAAAAGTAGCCGGTCATCGAAGATCTAGGACAAAAAAATCACAAGTAAAGAGAAGAGGACATTCAAGAGCCTGAAGTTGAATGAACTCAGCATATTTGATGAGGGGTAGTGGGGGGGGGGGTAATAGAATGGCTGGAACTGAGGTACAACTCACTTAGTATGGAAGGAGGATTAGAATGTCCCAGTCAATTGGAATAAGCATGATCCAAGAATCTAGGAGTTTGAAAGTATGGTCATGTTAGGAGAATGAGAAAGAGCACAGTGAGGCTGGAGAGGAGGGTGTGTGTATGATTGGCAGCATGAAAGATGGCAAGCAAGGGATGAGACTGGGAAGACAGTCTGGAGCCAGAGTATTGGGACTCATAATTGTCATGTTAAAGAATTCAGAATTTATTCTGTAGGAGCTGGAATTTTCACCTGGAGTCCACAAACTGATATACAAAAGTTCTCATTTGTGCCCACTTTTATGTGCAAAAGGCTTTATAGTTTACATCATATTCTTAAATGGCAGAGGGAAGTTATCTAAGGTTGTGGAGCAGAGTAACATAATTATTAGTGGAGGTGTGTGGAAGGCGAAATACAGAGGGAAGAGAGTACAATCCAGTGGTAGAGAAGATGATTGCAATGGCATGGCAACAGGAGAATCCAGAGTGACTGGAATCCTGGAATTTAGATCTTAAAGACCTTTGAGGGAAAAGTGACTCTCAACACTGGTTGTGGGTTTGACTCATCTGTGAAGCTTTAAAAAAATACTGATGCTCGGAACCCAGTCTGGGCCCATGTTATTGATGTGTAGTTATCACCATGGAAGGTGTTACAGGGAAGTAACATGATTTAAGATTTAAATCCTGGCTCTGTCCCTAATTGACTGTGACCACAGCATGATACACTCTAAAGTATCCATTACTTCTGATAAGTAAAAATGATACACTGTATCCTTTTACTGAGAATTCATAAGACAGTAAATATGTAGGGTCTGGCATAATGTGTGGGCAGAATAGATAAGGCGTATAAGAAATTTCCTTTGCCTCTCTTCATTAAGTGTTGGCAAGAAGGCCACAGTGTGAGGGAACAACAACTGTTTGTTCCTCTGATCCCTAACTGGTCAAGGACACAATGTATCTCACTTAGAAGTGTTAGGACCTGGTTCCCCTTCTCCTGCAATCTATAAATATAATTTCTCTAGGATTCTCTAGTGCTCTGGTAGGTATTAAACACAGACTGGGGTTGGAATCCAAGAGGAAAGGTCAGAGTGAAGGGTGTGGGAAGGATCCCTAGAGAAGGTGGTATTTGAGACTTGAATAAAGAGAAAGAGCCAGCCAGGTGGAAGAGGTGGGGCACCGTGGCAGAGGGAACAGTGTGAAACAGATGGCGCACAAGGGGCTTTAAAAGCACTTAGGTCTGATCCCCAAAGCTGACAAAAATAGCAATAAGAAAAAGACGGTCGAGAATCAGCATTAAAGTTATTCCGATCCACAGACTTCACAAGATAGTAATAAAAAAGAAGTTACAAAAACAAAGAAGTCTGGGGTATGTTTAGGATTAGCATTAGGGTGAGGGTTAGGGTGACTGATCTTCACAAAGATGTCAAACGGAAGCATGGAAACCTAATTTATTTCAGAGTGATAATATAACCACTCAGAGTAGTGAATTTTTTCAAGTCGTTTTTGTACACAATTCTTTGACAGTACATCTTTAGAGGGATATCTTCCAAGGACTGAAAGAAATACAAAGATATCTTATAGTCTTCTCAGTATATAAGATATTTTTTCCCCTAATAATGTTGATTTTGAAATTTCGAAAGCATTGCAGAACAAGAAAATATATTAAAATTATTTATTGGGAACTAAGATGTTTCATACAAGAAAAAAGAGATACACATAAAAATAAGCTAAGGAAAAGCTTGAATTATTAAATTTGGGTTATAAATATAAATAAAAATCCATAATTTTAAAACATATATATATGGATGCATATGTGTATGTACTTAGATCTGGGTAATTGGAGACTCCTCACCCCCTCATTGTCCTTGGAATGTGCATTCTGCTTTCCTTCCTGGTGTGAGAAGCTGCCCAAGGACACAGCCTTGAGACAGTAAGGTGCTGGCTGAGACCGTCTAGATGGTGTACATGACTGAGCCCAGTTAAGGTGTCCCATGTACATGACCTGACCCAGGTAAGGCCTTTACATAAACTTATAAAATTCTGGCAGGCAGAGTGGCAATCTACACTCTTGAGGCCACCCAAGACAAGCATCATAGATAAGTTCCTTTTTATATTTTATTTTTTAAACCTGCCACCTACAAATTGGGAGTGGCCTGCCTCTTACTTTAGTCTCTCCCTGCCCTCTGCATACAGGGGCCACTTTCAGATTATACTGGGAAGTTCCTAAGATTGTGAACCAGCAGTATGTATGCAGATATCCTTTTTAGTCGACAGCTAGAAAATATATACGTATGCATATTTTCTAGCTGTCCACTAAAAAGGACTGAGGAGCAATGAAAAATCCAGTAGCAGTGAGAACAACTTGCATCCAGATCTTGGTTTCTAATTAACAGTCTCCACTAAAAAGAATGAGGGCTCCTTAGAGAAGTAAATGGCTGATAACACGGCTGGAACTGAGAAAGTACAAAGTGAGCTGGGGACAAGTTTTTATGCCAGAAAGTAAGGATTTGATCAGATACTAATGGGAATAAGGACAAAAGTCAACTAAAAGGGGCTCCCACTTGCCAAATTTGGGACAGTTTGAGCATCAAAAAGCATAAAAATTGTGCTCTGGCTGGTGTGGCTCAGCTGTTTGGAATGTCATCCCATAAACCGAAAGTTCACAGGGTTTGATTTCCAGTCAGGGCACATGCCTAGGTTGCAGGTTCGGTCTGGTCAGGGTGTATAAGGGAGGCAACCAATCAATGTTTCTCTCTTGCTAAGTGGCCCCAAGGCATGGCACTAGCAGCAGCCAGCCTAGAGTCACAGCTTGGCTTTGCCTGGGAATCTCTAAGCCCAGACAATTAGCAGCCATCTCAGATTGTTCTATAGCTGAGGCAGGATGGCCCAGGGCAGAACACAGATGGGGGTTGACCTTGGCCTGCCCACCTGGGAAACCCCAGGACCTGTGTACCCAGTGGACAGCTACAGACCATGTTACAGCACCACCACCCTGTCCCTGCACAGCTGATCCTTCATGGAGGGTGGAGGTTGGTGGTCAGTGGTTACAACCAATCCTTGCAACTGTCTGGCCTGGGTAAATCCCTCCCATTGACCTGCCAACAGCAACCAAGTCCAAAGCACAAGAGGAAGGTATACTCAGCCCATGCGAAGGGCACACCCTGAAAACTCACCTTGGGTAATAGGGGTGGCTGTGCCTCTGGACCCTAAGGACACCTACTATATTAGGCCATGCTACCAATGTAGGGAGTCATAGCAGCTCTGCCTAATACAGAGAAACTAACACAGGGATGCTGCCAAAATGAAGAGACAAAGAAACATGGCCCAAATGAAAGAACAGATCAAAACTTCAGAAAAAGAACAAAACAAAATGGGGATAAGCAATCTATCAGAAGCAGAATTTAAAACACTGATTATAAGGATGCTTGAGGAACTTAGTAAGGACCTCAACAGCATAGAAAAGATTCAGTGAGAAACAAAGGATACACTAATTAAAATAAAGAACAATTTATAGGGAAACAACAGTAGAGCAGATGAAACCAAGGATCAAATCAATGATTTGGAACATAAGAAAGACAAAAACAACCAATCAGAACAACAAAAAGGAAAAGAATGGAAAAAAATGAAACAAACAAGACCGTATAAGCAGCTCTGGGACAACTTCAAGCATTCCAACATTTGCATGATTGGGGTGCCAAAAGGAGAAGAAAAAGAGCAAGAAATTGGAAGTCTGTTTGAATAAGTAATGAAAGATAACCCCAAATTTGGTGAAGAAAATAGACATGCAAGTCCAGGAAGCACAGGGAGTCCCAAACAAGATGGATGAAAAGAGGCTCATGCCAACACATCACAACTCAAATTCCAAAGGTGAAAGATAAGGAATCTTAAAAGCAGCAAGAGAAATCAGATTATTACCTACAAGGAGTTCTCATAAGACTGCCGGCTGAATTCTCAAAAGAAACTTTACAGATTGGAAGGGACTGGCAAGAAATATTCAAAGTCATGAAAAGCAGGGACCTACAGCCAAGATTGCTCTACCCAGCAAAGCTATCATTTAGAATTGAAGGGCAGATAAAGAGCTTCCCAGACAAGAAAAAACTAAAGGAGTTCATCATTACCAAACTACTAGTGTATGAAATGTTAAAGGGACTTATTTAAGGAAAGCAGATTGAAGCTATGATTAATAAAATGTCAGTAAATACATACTGGTCAACAACTGAATCTAAAAAACAAGTTATGTAAACAAGAAGAACAGAGGCAGAATCATGGATACAGAGAACACTTTGATGGTTGCCAGATGAGATGGGGGAGTGGGAGAATGGGTGAAGAGGTGAGGGGATTAAAAAATACAAATAGGTAGTTACAGAGTAACTATGGGGATGTAAAATATAGTATAGGAAATGGAGTAGCCAAAGAACTTACACGCATGACCCATGGACATGAACAATGGTGTGGGGACTGCCTGACGTAGTTGTGGGTACTGGTGGAGGGGAGCAAAGGGGGAAAAATTAGGACAACCGTAATGGCATAATCAATAAAGTATAATAAAAAACTACAATAAGATACCACCTCATACCTATTAGAATGGCTATTGTCAAAGAAGACTAGTAATAACGAGTTTGAGAGAGGTTGTGGAGAACAAGGAACCCTCATTCACTGCTGGTGGGAATGTAAACTGGTGTAGCCACTATGGAAAACAGTGCGGAGGTTCCTCAAAAAATTAAGACTATGATTACCATTTGACTGAGCAACCCCCCTTCTGGGTATCAGCCCCCAAATTTAAAAACAGTTATTTGTAAGGATATAGGCACCCCTATGTTCATTGCAGCATTATTCATGGTGGTCAAGACATGGACAAAACTGAGGTGTCCTTCAGTAGAGGACTGGATGAAGAAGGTATGGTACATATACACGGTGGAACACTACTCAGCTGTAAGAAAGGTGCAATACTGCCATTTGTGACAACATGGATAGATCTTGAGGATATCATGCTAAGTGAAATAAGTCAGAAAAAGTCAAGAACCATATGATTTCATTTGTATGTGGGATATAAAACTGAAAATGACAAATGAACAGGCAAGAAAAACACAAGCAACAACTCAAACACAGACAACAGTAGGGTGGGTGCCAGAGGGAAGGGAGCTGGAGGGGGCAGTAAAGGGAAAAGGGTCAAATGTAGGTGACAGAGAAGATTGACTTTGGGTGGTGAACACATGATGCAATATGCAGATGATGTATCATGGAACTCTACACTTGAAACATATATAATTTTGATAAGCAATATTTCCCCAATATGCTTAATTTTAAAAATGCAAACCAAAATAAAATACACACATAAAAAGGAAATAACCATTTTTACTGCCCCCCCATATAATAACTGATTCCAGCAAGGATCATCAATGTCTACTTAAACTATTAGGTAAAAGACAGTTGTGGGTCAGAATATTTGCATGACGCCAAAATATCACACCGCAGATTACCTACTCATTGCAAGGGGGAAAACATGCCTCTGAGTTCATCAGAGAAGTCTGGCAGTCACCATCTTAGTTAAAAGCTCAAAATTAGCATATTAATAGTGGGGCATGTTGACATTAAGTGCCTTTTGTTGGGATGTGATCCAAAGTACATGATATCAACCATGAAGTGTTTTTGCTAAAAATATCAAACATGCATCTAATTAAGCATCTAGACCTAACTTTAAGTATACAGGGAATATAAGGGATAGAAAGTACAGGTGAAATAAAATGGTGGGGAAACTCATGAATCCAGCTCTTCTTCCCCTGACTCTTTTCCGTTGAGCCTAGAGGGCTGATTGTCTTATCATCACACTGACAGCTGGCAGGGAGGCCAGGCAGTTAAAAGGCCAGGCATGGGCTGGCTATGAGATAAGCGGCCTGTCAATCACCAATTCTCCAGCCAAAGGTGATACAGGCTGAAGGGGCAAAGGGGAGAAGGGCAGTGAAAAAAATGTTGGAAGGAGCTTTATGTTCCAGGCTTGACTCTGCAACTGACTGTAGGACTTTGGACAAACCAAATCTCCATTCTGAGCTATAGTATTCATAGTTTCATAGTGAGGGAAGGAGACAAAGTGTTTTTCAGGGCGCCTTCTATGCCAAAGCCCCCGGGGTCAGAGGACTGCTTGGGCCTTATGTTGCCTTTGGGAAACATAATATTGTTGATGCCATTTATCTCTTGGATTTTAGAGAATGATTTTGGAATCTATCCTTGTGTATGGCCACTCAGCTGGATGACCTTTAGAAGGTTAGATATCTGAGTATGTATGAAGAGAAATAAATCAGGGAGAGGCTCTTTTGACAAATTGAGAACAAGTATTTAGCAAGTGAAAAAGCTTTCTGAGGAGGTACTTAAACCTTTCTAGGAAGGAAAAGCACTTGGGCTAAGGCAGCCAAGGTCTCCAAGCAAGGTTAAAGGATGACTGCATGACCGTGAGCAAATCGTTCCCACTCTCTAGCTTCGACTCCTTCCTCCACGAAATGGAGATGGGGCCGTGTTCTAAAAAATGCCATATGCAGCATCTGAATTTCCTCTCCTGTAAAGGAATGTAGGATAATGGAAAGAGCATGGTTTTAGAGTTAGATCTGTGTTTAAATCTTTGTATTAATGAGATCTTAGACAACTGTATTTATATTCTCTGAGCTGTTTTTTCTGCAAAATGAGGATGATTAAGCATATCTCAAAGGGAGATTGTCAAGTTTCAGTGAGATAACTTAGTAGTTACTTTGTCCATAACAGATCTTTCCTTCTCTTTTTCTTGTTTATTTTATAGGAGGGAGTGCGGGAGGTAATGGAGCCTTCTGGGATGCCCTTCCCCTGGTGGTGTGAGTCAGTCACATTGTCCCTTTTTCCTCTGAAGGGCACACTGCCACATCTAGCCGGGTGACAAAGCAAGTCTTGGGAGGGTTAAATAACTATTGCTATGATTGCAGCTGCTCAGGGTTGCCCTTCTCAGATATGTTTAGAGCTAGAGAAACCCAGAGAAAACATACCATCATATGGAGAGACCGCAGATCTGACTTACCAGAGGAGTTGTAACAAAAGGCCTTATAACCTTTACTGATAGAATTTCTCCAAACCAGGACGCCTACTCCGTTCCTTCCACACTTGGGGTTTGCAAAAATCCGAGGGATGACTAAGAACTGATCTGAGACCCATCCATAGCTGTAACAGAATACATATTTGTTGAGTGGTTACATTTATATCTATGGCTGAACAAGAACACAGAGCCCAAAGAGCTCTGCCCTGTCTGTGAATCCAGCTGTTTCTCACCTGCAAGTCTCAAAGCCAGACTTCCATGCTGCTTCAACCTGGTCTTTGCTGGCTAAAGTTAGTCCCAGAAGCCTACAGGCCTCCTGGGCTTCTGTGAAGTTCAGGTGGCTGGGTGCATTTTTGTCCACAAGGGTGACTCCCATGATTCTGCATACCACTGAGACGGAAAGCTCTGTGAAAGAACCACATAGATCCTCAGTTTGCTGCTGTTGTTTTCCAGAGCCTTTAGGCTCCTCTTCCTGGCACAGCATCATTATCTTGATGCAGCAATGAGGGCATTGTGGCTGGGATTGAAGTTTAGAAATAACAAGACACAGGCCAGACATTTCCCACAAGGACAAACTGCTGGGTTAGGTGGGTGCTTGGTCTGATCCAAGCAGTACCTCTCATCACATCCGAGTCCACTCTGTCATACTGCACTAAGGTGCCTTGTTCATTACCTGGAGGCTTCAGGTACCCGTTCCTGGGGTAGAGTCTAGGTGATTCTGCTGCTGCAAACCTTTTTGGAGTCTATACAGTGAATGGTCTGAGACCTTGGGAAATGCAGAATTCATATCTCTTGCTAATAAAATAACAATACTCCAAACTAATTTGGGTTGGAGATACCACTATTTCAGAGATGGGTTGAAAAATGTTGCACTTGGTATAATCTGAGTTTTTTCAGTCCCAGATGTTCTCTGACCATTGGGGGGCAGACTTACTCAGAAGTTCCTGGAGGAACTGGCCAGTAAACCTTGCATGGCAGAGAAAATAAATGAAGTGGAGTTTTAGAATCAGACTTGGATTTTAATCTAGCCTACGTCGCTTGCTAGCTCTGTGACCTCGGGCCTAGTTATTTTATGTCTTAGCCTCAGTTCCCTTATTTATAAAACTGAGAGAGTAACAATATATATTGTATCGGGTAGTGAGAGTTAAATGAGATAATTCAAGTGAAAATGCTTAGCATATTGCCTGCTATGCAGTAGGTGCTCAGTAAATCATAAAGAACATTATCATTACGTTATCTTTAAAGCATTTCGCTTTTAGTGTTCAAAAAAGTGTTTAGTGAGGAAGCTGAGGCAGTTGAACAGTTAAAGTATGAATAATATTTTACTCAAGATCTAATGAATCTGAGCATTCTTTTGATCCCTTCCTTCTGAGTTCTAAGATTTATAGCCTTGTATGAAATTGTGAGTTGCAATGCTTTCAGGTACATTCTCCCTATTGCATTTCATCCACAAAAGCCCATAAAAGGGCGTTTCATTCTCCTGAGTAATTTCTTGTATACAGATCTGTGCACTGGGTGCCTAGTCAAATGCTTTGACCACTTTCTAGGTTAGTATTTAAAGGCAGTTTCTTCTTGAAAACATGGAAGGAGCATTTCTAAGTCCTCCATGTGACCTTGCTGTGCTCTGGGTCAGGAGGCTGCAGGAAGAAATGTGTATATTATGAAGAGTATTTGTGGGTGGCCTTGTCTGCATCCCAACCCTGCTCTCACCAAAGGAGAGACCTGAGAGCCAGCGCTCCAATGTGAGTGTTTGTGACAAAACAGCCTCTGATATTAGAAGTATAGCAATATTAATTCCAGCTTCTATCCTCTGTTGATGCTACTCTGTGTGAAACTATGTCTCTTTTAACAGAAAATTGAGGCTCGAGGGGATGAGGTAACTTTCCCAAGCCCAAGGATCCAGAGCAACTTGTGGCAGATTGGGGGCACAAACCCAATTGCAACTGACTCTAAAAGCCCAGTTCCTAACAGGGACACTGTTCTGCTACCCACTGTGCTATGGGGAAAAGATGGACACACACCTACACACACTAAACTGGAGCTGAACTGTTGGAACACACCATTTGCCCTGGAATTTGGCTCATTTAGCCCATGAACTTGCTATTGCTCAAGCGTCTTAGGGCTACTTCTTTTTTTTGGGGGGGGGGGGTAGGAGGGGGTGGGGATACTTGCAGATTTGTTAATTATACTATAAAGTGGCCTTGATACTCTCTCATCAAATCTCATTTTTACTATAAATAATAGTAGTAGTAGTAATGACAGATCTATTCTGGGCGATAGACTGAGCTTTGAATATTTCTTGTAATATTAATTGGCTGTGGGACATTGGGCAAGTTAGTGTTCTCATCTGTAAAATTGGGGTGTCATATCTTCTTCACAGAATTTTTGTCAGAATTGAATTAGAGAACTAGTACTTAGCGGAGGCTGGGTCCATAGTAGACAGTTAACAAATATTGGTCAAGTTTAAGTTTTTTTTATTTTATTTAAGGATAGAAATAGGTGGCTGGTCTCCAAGAGGTACACCAGTGATAGCGTAAGCATTCTCAGGGAACAATAGGCATAGTAGAAAGTATATGCTTAGCCAGTAGACGGAGCTGAATTCAAACCCAGCTTTATTATTTGCTGCCTGTATAACATTAGGCAAGTCGCTTGGCCACACTGAACCTGTTTCTTCATCTATAAAATGTCTTCTTGAATAATTTATATTATTCTCAAGCATAGGAACACACTTTTCCTTTTAAAGTGCTCAGATTTTTATTTTCCCAGAGCTGAAATAAGTGATTTATAGTTAAAATTCATGGTTACAATTCCTTTTTAATATAATATATATTAAAATATATTTTAAATATATATACACACATACACATATACATGCACTTAACTCTCTATCTCTACATGCTAGGCCCTCAAGAGTACTAGCTCCCATTCTCATCCACTCATCTTCATCAGCCACTTTTCCCTCAATCATGCTTCTAAATAACTTTCATTTGTTTCCCAAAATTTAACTTCCTTGGGAACATTTTGCAATTATTGAGGATGGTCTGAAGAGTGTGATAGAGTCATTGTCAGAGACAACTGAGTAATGGCAGCATTTTTGAGAAAAGTGAAGAGTCTTCTCAGGGGGATTTCAAAGAGAACCACACTTATTTGACAGAAACAGTTTTAGTAATTGTATTTTTAAAAAAATCAATAATATAACTCTAGTCTTCCTTATAAAATTAAATACAATAATGTATGAATCAACTCTGGATGTCAGTTCCCAACATTTTATATCTCAGGACATCTTCCAGCATCAAAATACATAAGTTTCTTTTAATGTGCTCAAAGTTTCATTTGTCCCAAACTGAAGTGAGTGATTTGTGGTTACAATTTTTTGCCTACAATGCAGAATGAGGTTACCATTTAGGCATCTCAAAGCCCAGAAATTATTTCAAGTCATTCTTTTGGTAGAGAGCTGATGGCTAATTTTTAAACCTATATTTCACATTTTTTTCAGTTAATTTGCTACTTACTGCATATTAGAAACATATGCATCCCATGACAGTATAAAAAAATTGAAATAAAAATAATTATATTGACATGTCCAAAAATTTAAAACAGGCCAATATTCTGTGAAAGTTAGTCATCTTCCCCAGGCTTAGTGATTGTTTTAAAAGTTTTACAATCATACTTTGCTTCTTCAGTGAAACACTTTTAAAAACAAATGATCTCTCCTCAATGTTTTATTTCAAAATATTCTCATCAAAAATAGTCCATAACCCAAAATAAAAGCCAAAGGTAACATAAAGGTAAATGTGAATCATTTTGGCGAAGTTGACAATATGGGGAAAACTTTCTGGCAGACCAATCTGGCCAATTAGATCTTCCGTGGACATGGAAGGTTTCCCCCGCACCACTCCCAGCCGTCCACAGTCAAGAACTTAGTAGGCTTAGGACAGGTTGTAAGATCTTGCCTTGCCTCAGGTTGGCATTCTGCGAAGAAACCTACCTTGTACCTGGAGAGAGCCTTGGACCAAGAGCCTTGCGGTCCAGATGGAGGCAAGAAGCAACACCAGGCTGTAGCACTTGGTCATTGTGCCAACCCCTTCAGAGCCAGAGAAACGCCTCAGACAGCCACTGGCAGTCACACAAGCACACGATCACCAGTCTGGATGGAGACTTCTGGAAATATGTTGGGGCCCCCACTGCTCCACTTCATAACTGAGACATCCGGATTTCCCTGCTTTCAAGCCTCTGACTTGTCAAGGTCACTGGGGGAAATGAGTGACGTCCCTCGATGCTCAGGCTGCACTTTGTGGATAGCTTTCTGGAAAATTTAGCTAATGCTGACTCAGAAAACACAGAAATGAGGAAGGCAGATAGCACAATGTGAACTGCTGAAGGTTTTCCCTATTTCCATATTCCCTGCCACTGCCGCCCCCCAACCCCCGCCCCCACCCAGCAGCTCAGTTCTCACACATTCATTGTTATTGGCTGTGGAGCCCATTCATTTATACACTCCTAGGAATGTCTCTGTTTCCAAAGATTAAACATGGGTTGTGCTTTTCCTCTCACAATCAGTGGGTTGTTCCCCCCCGCCCCCCCGAACTGCTTACTCTTGCGATCTGTTGGGGAATGATGCTAAGGCTCATGAAAGCAAATGCCCATTTAAATACCAAGGACAGATTCTTCATGCCTCCCTTTGGGACTTCTTTTATACATTTAAAATTTCTACACCACTACAGGTGATCCCTTTTCCAAAGAAACCAGACAAACAAAAAAATTCATATTTAAACAATACAAGTATGTGTTGGGGGCGGGGGAGTGCAACTCACAAAATTAGTCATTTTTACACTTTACAAAAAAGGGTTTTAGACTCTACAATGGGAATTACTATGGGGGCCCTTTATAATAGCTCTTTCTTTAATAATTTGTCTTATAGACCAAACAGCTTCTCTGGTAGACCAAAACTCAGCTTAGACTTCCCCTTTCTCATTTGACCGATGTGAGGTTTATCTGCACTGTGTGTAAGCAGGCTGCACTCTCTGTTTTCCCAGCTGCATTTTCAGTGCGCGGTCCTCTGTAGTAATTATGGAATTCTGGCTTAAGAATGATGCCTTGAGCAAAGGTGTATGAGTTTCCTTCAAAGTGAATGTCATTTATAAGAAGTAGTCTATGGATAACTAGTTCTTTTCTATACAAATGGTACCCATAATTTAGATATCTATACAGAAAATACCGATAACAAAAGAAGAATCTGCTCTGCACAAACACAAGGAAACTTCTAAGAGACTAGGGGATAATCCTTAAATATTTCTAATTCTTAAATATTTTAATATCTTTAGGTCTTATTACTTAAGTAAGCATAAGCCTCAGGCTATGGGTATCTCAGAAACATGTGACTATCACCATAGAACCAGGAAGACAGGAAAGCAGGTATCACATCCTCTTCATCATTGTCCTGAAAGCCCTAGCTTCACACTTAAATAAGAGCTAGGCTTCTAGCATTTGCTCAGGTATTACAAAAAGAAAAAGGAAGCAAAATAAGAAGGGGGAAAATGAATCACAGAAAACAAAGCTTTGCGTGGGAGAAATAGTTTATGAGAAAAGGGGTCAACCTAAATTTTGGAAACATACCCCAAGGAGAGAAATTAGTAGGTAAAGGGAGTCTGTATGACTATACTGGTACTTAATAATGAGTTTCTAGAAGAGAAAACAATCTTATTTGGGAGATCTTTCCACTGAGAGAAGGTAAACTACCATTGGAATGTGATTGGAAATGCTTGATGGGAACTTGCTGCCTCTCTTGTTAAGTGTGAATATGCTCAGTCTTAGCTTCTAGGCCTTTCACCTAAGACAAGGGTCTGAAGAATTTGTTGCCAAGAGCTAAAAGCTAAGTGTAGAGCTATAAGGAAAATATTGCCAGATAGTCTCTCGTAACCATTTTGAGAAACAGTGTTCAGGATATCACTGCAGCATTGTCCACTTCTACAATGACAGCTCATCCTGTAGTCAGGGAGAACCAAGAATTTTTTTAAAAATGCTAGAATTAGAAGGGAAATTTGAAAAGTTAAATGAAAAATGGAGAAACAACAAATTTCAAAGAAGAACATAAAATATGGAATATCCAGACCAGTTTTCTTGTTCCCTGTATATGGAATATATGCATGAACGACATTTAATCTGATGTAGGCAAACAAAAATTTAAATGGAGTAGACATTTTGAAATGTGGCAAGAAAGACGGTAATATGGTACAATCCAAATCCCTGGACTGAGGGTGATACCCAAATTTTAGCTTAAGTCCTAACACTAATTGTCTGTGTGACCTTGAGCAAGTCATTTAACTTCTCTGGGCCTGTTTTTATCATCTGTCAAATAGGTGTGTTGAATTATATAAATTTAAAAGTAACATAGCAATGTAATTCTATGATACTTTTCCCTGATACTACAATAATCCTGATATTACAGGGATTAGTTGTTTTCTAACATATATAAATAGGCAAAGGTATCAGTTAGTGTAGCCTGTTATAACAAACAACCCCAAATCTCAATGCCTTAAATTTTAAAAAAGTTTATTACTCTCATGTTACAATCGAATGGCTGACAATAGTGGTGGTGGAGGTAACAGTTGTAGTGCTGATAGTGTTGGGGTGTGTGTGTGGGAGTGATTTTGTCACACATAGTTATTCAGTGACTGTATAGCTCTAACATCACTTAGTACGTCAGCTCTCTCCTCCTCAAGATCTTCTACATTGATCCAGAAACCAAGGGAAGGGAGTGTGGAGGACCGTGCTGCAGATTTCTACAGGGGCCAGGCCTGGGAAGTGTCTAGATCACTTCCAACCATATCCCATTAGACGGAATTTTGTCACATGTTTTCCCATCTAACTGTAAAGGAGTCTGAAATCTAGCTAGGTGCTCAGGAGCAAAAAGAAAAATTATTTGATGAACACATAGTAGTTTCTGACACAGTCTACCCTTCTGATCACCCGATACAGGGTTCATTATTTCTACCACACATAGAATGCAATCACTCTGTTCTTAAAGGTGACAGTTCAAGGCCCCGTCCAACTCAAAGTCCATGATCTCTGAATTATGTTCAGCCATCTCTCTCAGGTCCAGCTGTGGTACTTCGTGGTCTGGTAATGTAAGAACTAAAAAAGTTACATGCTGCCCCTCCAGTGTAATGGTGAAGCAGGGCCTTGATAACCTCAGTAAAAACTGCCATGTGTAAAGGAGATGAAGGGGAGACACAGCAGTCGCCTGGCTACAGGAGTTCTGGAACACCAATGAAGAGGCATTAGAACGGCCAATGGATCATCTTCCAATTGCCGTGTAACAAATTACCACAGACTTAATGACTTAAACCAGCACCCATTTATTCTCTCACCATTCTGTGTGTGGGTCAAGAGTCTGGTGGTCTCAGCTGGGTCCTTTGTTCTGGGCCTCATGAGACTGAAATCAAGGTGCCAACTGGGCTGGGCTCTCAGCTGGAGGCTTTGGGAAAGAATCCATTTCCATGCTTATTCAGACTAGCAGAAGAATTTTAAAAATTCTGCCTACCACAGTTACCTGACTTCGTTTAGATCCTGATTCTGCTTTCAGGGAGAAACTCCCACGCCCATGTCCACTGTCCTCTGTGACCCTTCATTTTATATAATCTTCCTTGGTCACACGAAGTGGGAATTAGAGATTATGTCTAGCTTTTACTATCTGTTTTCTGCTGGTATATGCTTAGGTTCCCCAAAGTTGTTTTTCCAGCTTGAACAATCAAAGGAGTTTTTAGTCTTGGCTTATGTTTCTCTGTAAATACAAATTTCCTCACAAGTTTAGATTTCTGATCTATTTGCTTCAGTTTGATTCCATGTGTCAATAGTTATACCCCAAATCCTTTCCCGGCTATAATTCTCAAGATGTATTTCTCTGTTTTCTCAGCGCCATGCCTTCTCTCTCTCTGTCTCTCCCCTCTCTCCCTCTCTCTCTCTCTCTCTCCTCTCTCTCTAATTTAATAGTGGCTAGTGCATTTGAAACCATGAATGAAACTGCCATATCCTTAGTCTGGTGTTTGCCACAGGACTGAGTTGATGTGGGTTCAAGTGAGAAATTATATTGGTTCTTTTTCACTTAAAGCTCTTTTATAGTCTTACTGTTTAGGGTTTAGAAGCAGTCAGATTTTCTAACTCTTCAGTCTGAACACTGTTTTTTTTCTTTTCTGCTTCCAAATTTCCAATTCTTTGCTGAGTGCTTTTTTCTTGTAACACCTTGCTAAAGGCAGCCAATGAAAGTTCACATACTCCACCACTCTGATTCTTTCCAACTACTTCTCCTAGATATATGTTGCCCATGGGCTTACCCTAAGTTAAGCATGGGTAAGACTTTACCAAATATTTTTGTTTTATTCAACATGGGTCACACTATTTCCAGCCCCTGCTACCAGTTTCTTATTTCCTACCATTTGACTAAGCTAGTGCTTCATATTTTGAAAATTTGTTACTGAAACACCCCATTTCTGGTTTAAATGTAGTCAAGGTAAGGTGGTTGCTATCACAGGTATTTCTAAATTTCTGTGGCTTAATACACTACAATTTTGGTTTTTGCTCACATCGCAGCTGAAGGCTGTGAGTGCCCACATCAGGGTTGAGTGCCCACATCAGAGTTGAGCACCATGGGTGCCTATGTCACAGGCGAGTGCTGTGAATGCCCTTTCAAAGATGTAGCTTCCACCTAGTGGTTCTGCTGTCTTCTCTGGCTTCGGCTCCTCAAAGGAATCCTCTGAATTTGATAGGAAAAGAGGGTATTCAAGAGGGGGTGTGAAGTATTGGGTAAGATAGTTTGTTTCTAGGAACCTAGACCTGGAGGATCGACATTCCCCTGTAGCTAGCTGCAAGAAAGACTGAAAAATGCCATCTGTCTATGGAAATTAAGTTGGTAATAACTCAGCAGTCTCAATCCCAGCAAAATGTATTAATTTAAAAAAACCCACACATACAACAAAAAAATCCCATAGGCCAAAAAGGTAGAGGAGACTGAAATCAGGAACGGGGAAGGGGAGAAGGAGGAGAGCTGATCCAGTCCCCGGGACTGGGGACTTCTGGCCTGCTTCTGGGGGACACTAATGCCAATAGGATCTATTTAATTCAGGCTCAGCTCCATCCACAAAATGAGGAGGCATTTAGCTGTTGCCAGAGGTTTGGAAATGTGCTTTTATTTTCAAACTCGGGCATGTGACATTCTATAGTTCAATGCTAGCACACCTGTGTGAGGCTTAACAACATTTGGAACTGACAGCCAGTGCTACACAAATCCAACGTCTCCCTCTCCATTTACTCTGCCAGGCCACACAGAAGGAACAATACATATTGGCTTTGTAGTAGCTGG